CTGTAATAGTTCACATACCAACTCTTCCTTCGCTGACAGTGGGTCAGTGTTTCCATTGTCCTGCATTTTTGTTCCCATGGCCCGGGGCCCAACAGCGCTGGTAAAGACAGAGGTGAAGAAAGTGTTGAGAACCTCTGCCTTTTCAGTGTTGCTGGTGACTAACTCACCTCTCCTGTTTAACAGCGGGCCAATATTTTCCTTCCGTTTCTGTTTGTTGTTTACATACCTGAAGAAGCCTTTCTTGCAGTTTTTGACATCTCTGGCCAATTTCAATTTGAGCTGAGCTTTTGCTTTTCTAACTGCATCTCTGCACACCCTGGCAATACTCTTGTAGTTCTCAACACATATTTATCCGCTTTTCCATCTCCGGTATGCTTCTCTTTTGGTTTTGAGCAGACTCAGAGCTCGCAGTTAAGCCAAGGGGGTCTCTTGCTCTGCCTACTTCCCTTACCTTTAAAGGGGATGAACTGTTTTTGTGCTTCCAGGAGAGCATTCCTGAAAAGCTCCTACCAGTTGCTAGCTCCTTTATCCTCCATGGAAGCTTCCCATGGAATCCCTCCCAACTGAGCTCTGAATGAGCTGAAGTTTGACTTTCTAAAATCTAAAATCATGTCTCAGTACTAACCTTTAGCATGCTCAGCAGGATCTCAAACTCGCCAATACTGTGATCACTGCAGCCAAGGCTACCACCAACCGAGATATTACAAAACAAGCTTTCTTGGTTTGTGAGTAGCAAGGCCAGCAATGTTTCATTCCTGGCTGGCACATCTAACATTTGTATGAGGAAGCAGTCCTCTATGCATTCCAGGAGAAGACAGACGTGGGAGTAAAGGAGTGATAGAGCTCACAGCAGAAATTTGGGGCAGTAGGGTTTGTGGGCAGTAGGACAAGCACTTTCTATCCACAGCACTTGACAGTTCTGGGGCAGAGTCTTCAACAAAGAACTCCCAGTATGCACCGGCAGCACTGCTTCAAAAAGTGAGGGCTGAGCTGCTGTCTAAGTAGTGGGCAATAATTATGGTCCCAGGCACCTCTTGGGACTGTGCCCATCACTGCTCACTAAAATCGTTCTACAGAATTTGCAATTTGGAGCCTCACTTTCTTTTCAGGAAAATCTAGGACTTCAAGCTTCCTGCAAACAAATAGAATCGTGTCATTTCTGAACAAAAATTCCCCTTTAAGAGGGGAAGTTGCAGTTCCTAGTCTCTTCTTACTGTCTTAAAGACTGGTCTCAGTAAGGACCTTGGAATTTCACCCTAAGGGAAGAGCTTAGAATAGGTGACAATGTTCTTGTATTTAGTCACTAAACATTGGCCTAAGTAAACAATCATGTACCTCAGATGGAAAGCCTGTGCGCTACTTGCAGTTCATGCTTGACTGCACAGAAAACACTACCTGTTATTTGCTTTTTAGTCTCTACATCCCTGGTGTGTCGGAGTAGGCGGAGCAAGAGTGGGATCCCTTTCTGCTCTGACACTTCCAGTTTGTTGTCATTGTCCTCAAACACCAAGTTTCTCAGAGCACCACATGCTGCCCGCTGAATGTCCTCATTCTGAACGTCAAGAAGCTGTAAAAGTCTGGGGATACCACCAAGTGAGAAAACCTGTGAGGAAAACAAAACACAGCAGACAGTAGTTAGATGCTGTAAATGACAAACTCCACCCTCCCCCCAGCAAACCTTTAAATAGTCATAGGGGCATTTTTCATTTGCTCCTATTTGAAAGACTTGAAGCACTGATCATTAATCATTTGGACATGACTGTTAACTTCTGGGCTTTCATATGAGTCATAGTTAAAATCCACAACTAAGGGACGCATCATACTTTAATAATTAATGTAAGAGAATGAAACTAAATCTTTTCCAGCTTTGCAGCAGATTTGTACTCTCTGACAAGACATTTAATTGCTCTGTATTTTAGCTTCCATCTATTTGATATTTAACTCCGGAACATTTATAAACTGCTTTGAGATTTCTGGATGTAAAATGTTCCTGATGTGCCAAGTTTGCTTTTTTTTTTTCTCAGCAGCAGCTTGATGGAAAGACAATATTTTTCTCTGTTAACTTCTGTGCATGTATTGAAAGTATATTAAATAAGAATACATTATACTTAGTACTTCTTATCTGTCATATACTAAGAAAAAGATAGTAAACTTCAAAATGTAGGCCATTAAACATTGTAAGCTAGTTAACTACTGAACCACCCACATTTAACAAAGACTACTCTTTAGTGTCTAATTCTTTAGAAAATGAGGTTCGGGCCCCAAATGAATGAAGAATTAAGATGATGTTACTTTACAGCAGCTGTACAGAAACAAATAGTTTCCAAGTTCTACATGTGGCGAACGATGAACCCCATATGAGCTGTGATGTGGCATAAGCAAGCCTTGGCTCATTTAGGAACGAGTTTACTGTGGAAAATACCTTACATTTATGTACAATTGAGGATGGTTTCCTCCAGCATCTCAAAATGCCATATGGTTTTGTGGACAAACTCATCCTTGTGTAGAATCAACAGCATGTGAAAGCAATCTGATACAACCGTTTTGACTACTCCAGAGTTTAATGATAAAAAGAATTCAATATGACCGACAGGTGTTGGCAACATGAAGAAATGAAATGTAACAAACCCTTTTGCCCTTCGTGCCCTGGCAAGCTATGCTGCCTGCCTGCCCTTCCTTTGATTCTTTTGTACAAAAGACACAGTTTCTTGCTACTGCACTGCTGACCTGATTCCCCCCGCATTCATTCAGCAATCATCAGGATGCTAGCAGAATGAAATACAGAAATACTTATCTTGAGGTAGAGTGGAGCATAGAGCATGCTGAAGGCACATCAACCTATTTTATTACAGTAGATAAGCCCTTTTGACACCAATACCATAGCTGGTTGTTTTTTTAAACATTTATGCAGGCTTTCTGTTGGTAATCTTAAGGGATTTATAGCTCTCGTAAAAGAAGTGGTGCTATTTTGACCTAATGTGCAGAGGATAATTTACAAAAGCTATTGATTGGTCTTTTTAAATTTTCATCAGTAGACAAAATTCACCAAAATACTGTAAGACCACAAGTTCACAAGAAAACAAAAAGCCACTAGACCCACAGACTATCAAGTATCAGGGAACAAAGCATCGGAAGACAAAGGAAAGGAATGCAGACTGAAAAGGTAAAAAAGGGAAACTGGACAATGCCAATGTGAACAAGTCTGATGGACACCAAACAAAAAAAGTCAGCTAGGATATGTGGGATAGACAGGAAAATAGAAGAAGCCTTCAGACTGACTGCTCTAATTTGAACTCTTTTAGTCATCCATTTGTTTTTCCGGGAAGCTGCCTGACAGGGTTTTGTATAACAAACCACCTTCAAACATTCAATTCTGAAGCTCTATCCTCAGACTGAAGTTGATTGTACTAATTGTACTGGTGTTTTTTTCCAAAACAGACTTTGATCTACTGTGAAGCAAGTTAAAACTACCAAAGGACAGAGCGATGTTTGGCTGTCACTGAACTGGATTGCGTATACATGAACATGGAGTTAAGGCTTAGACTCCGTATGAATAATACCGAGCATATTACAAACCAAGGCAGATGTAAGAAATTTTTTTTAAATGGTTGACATAAACAACCACCTTATACATTAATGTACAGAACTGTTCAGCCAGAGAGCCGTAATTGTGTTCAATAGTGAAATTTAAAGAAAAGAATATTTTTAATATTCCCTTTCAAAAAACTTCTAAGAGACTTAACAAGTCTCTTGTACAAGACTTAACAAATTTGGTTAATCCAATCAACGTATTAATGCACTTGTGCAGTCCCAGCAAGCCCTTCCCAGCTGGGCTAATCCATACATTGTATTAACGTATTTGTGCAGTCTTAGCAAACCCTGAAGTTTGGATATATTTGTACTGTACTCCCAGAGTCTTTCTTCTTTTCTGGGATATTTCTGTACCAACGGTGTAAGCACGTCACTCAAAAATGAGAGACAGAAGCAACTGACAAAAAGTTCAGACTCTATGACTTACAAACGCTGAAAGAACTGTGTTCATTTGGCCTGAAAAAGAGCAAACTAAGTGGGTATACACTTAGCAGCCTTAACATGTATGAAAAATCATTAGCAAGGGAACAGAAAAATAGATGTTTCTCTCCATATCCATCAAGACAGGATAGAAACTAATCAACTCAGTTTGCAAAAGGGAGATTTAAGTTATACTTTAGGAACAACTGGTAAGGGTAGTAAAGCTTTTTGACTGCCTGCAGGAGCTTGTGGGATCCTAATCAATGGGATTTTTTATAAGTTGGTTATAAACATCTGTAATTACAGATGGTTTGGGTGAATTCTTACCATACATTTCTGTGTCTCCTATATGAACTGCTAAAGGCCAAATTTTAGCTAGTATAGATCACTGCCATTCAATGGATTTTAAAGAATCTGCCACAAAAAGCATTGGCATATTACTGAAAATAGTCATCATCAGTATTCTACAAGGTTTCTTTGAGTGTCTTTTTTTTTCCAAGTTGGCACACAGTATAGAAAGTTATTTGCTCTACCCTACTGTAAATGGTATAAAAATATTTACTTACTTTTCTTCTGGCATCTGCTTTCTGGAAGCACTCATGCTGTATGAAAGTCACTGCAGCAAGAATCCTAGGTGTGGATTGTGTATTTTCACTCTTCAGTATGCTCACTGCACGCTCCAGAGTCATGTCCCCTTCTGGGCTCCTTAAAAGTACAGACAGGAAACATAGTGAAGCAAGATTGCAGAAAATTTATCATTGAGCCTGTGACATTTCTTGTAATACTGTAATTTTTGTATTTTTCATGTGACTTTAGATTTTCTTAGAAAATTATTCCCTTTCCAGTAGCAGAAAATATTATAAAAGCTTTAAGAGATACTAATCTTTTCCAACCAAAATGATTCTTAGATTCTATGATAATATTCTGGGGAAAGAGAAAATGATAAATGGAAGTGTTGCAACAATGAGAGGTTCTGGAGAAAGCAAGTCATGGTTCATGTTATAAAAACAAAATGGAAACATCAGTGGATGAAGGACTAAGATCCAAAAAAGGCCATAGCCAAATTAGATTGTTGTGTACTGATCATGAAGATACCTTGATGTTTTTCTCAGTAATGTGATGATGCTTTTTTGTATTTGTTTTCATGACTTTCTTCAGTCTCTCGGTTCCCAGACTACACACATGCAGGGCTCAGTACCTGCTTTTTTCAAGCTTATGGAAGTTGTTCTAGTTTGAAATAGAGGGGCAAAGCATTTTTTCAGGTGGGACAAAATAAAAACACCACTGATTAAATCGAGTATGTACATTGCCTGTGGTAGGATTAAAAAATGCATGGCTATTTTCCTCCCAACTTCCCGAATGGAACATAAACCAATTCATGGCACAATTGGGTGCATTAGCTCTGGGACATGTGGTTATGTTCCCCAGCCTTTTTATCTACTTTTTGTTTCAAATACTCTCCACCTAGAGAAAAAAGAGGTATTAAATGTTTTTTAAAAACCAAATAATTTTGTAGAACCAGATCCCAGGCTGGCCAGACAGGGACAAGAGGCCAGTTTGTGAACCACAGTGAAACAAGTAGTCATTGGCAATAACTCCCTACTTCAGAGCTACCAGAATCAGAATGGTTCACTTGCAATCACCACAGTAACTGCATCTAAAATTAGAATTTTTGACACAATTACCTTTTATGTTAAAATAGGTACCTGGGAAATTGAAATTTTGTTTGTTTGTTTGTTTTTTCTTTTAACTAAGCAGAAATATTAAATAATAAACAATGTTCAAAAAAGTGAAATACGAGATGTTTTGATACTGAGAAAATAAACATTTCTAAAGCACGTGTTTGTGGACTGCACCAGGAGTCACTCGGTTCTTCAGCTCTGAGACTGTCTCAGTAATGGACTGGCAGGAGCGAAAGAGCCTGGAAGTCCAGGCTTGCCCGGAATGGGCTGCCAAGGAGCAAGGTAGGCAAACCAAGCAGAAATCAGGCAGATTTCTCACAGGGAATCTTGCTACATGTGCATTGAAATCCAACTCTTTACCCTAAAATATTTTTGATAAACTCATGAGCTCTGAGACAAAAATGGATTTTGTTGAAACTTTTCTTGCCAGCTACATTGTAAATTAGCATCTGCTGCTTGCTTTTATAAGGCAAAAGACTTTTAGTATGGCTGCAAGACAGCGAAGAAATGAAGAACAATTTTGATGCGCCCGTTGCAAATGAAATTATATTCCTATACCCTGAGGTTTCCACCTGTCTTTGTATTTCCCTTTGGTATAAAGCATGTTATTTCTTGTCTTCTCCCCTCCTCTGAGTTAGCGTTTTGAGCAAATACGCTGCATCTATAGGTGCTGAGGCACGCTTGTGCAAGACAAAGACGAAACAAAGGCGACAGTGTGTTGAGGATGTCAATGGAGAGGCTGAATCAAAGTGAAATTGGACAGATCTCTGGCTAGTATCTCTAGTGCCCCGGGCTCTGGTCTGGCAATGCTTCAGCTTCCAGATTTTCAGAGTTTACTTCATCCTGGATTTGAAACAAAGTAGCTACTGAGTTACTGTAAGTTGCAAATTGGATGTACTGATCAGAAACCTACACAAAGATCTTGAACAACGAGCAGTGGGAAAAAAGCCAGATCGTCTTTCTTCTTACTCTCTTCTAAGTGGAACAGAAAAACAGACTTTTCAAGCTTGGCTTTTAGTCGGGTTTCTTAAATCAACAAGGGCTTTGTGACCATGTTATATATGTGCACGTGTGAGCATGGCTGCCTGCCTGTTAGTCACTGCAAGAACTTTGGAGCCCTTCAACCAAATTCAGTCACTGTCTACAGACTGGCAGACATCTCTGATGTATTAAATCGTGAGTAATTTCAGTGCCTAACAGCAGAGAAGGACTCTACCCATGCACTTCCCAAGGTCAAGATTGCTGCATGAGCTGATCCCTCACAGACCACCAGAGAATCCATGTGGGAACTCAGCCCCAGGGCGCCAAGGATGTCCCAGAGTAGTAAAGGTCCATCAGCAGTCACTGCCAGGCTGAGACAAACACATGTATAGCCAGAGACCAAATTTCTTAGTTCTGGGTGTGTAGATCTGCATTGACACTGACAGCACCCCACCAGAGTTATCTATTCATGGCTGATCCTCTTTCATGGCTGATCCTCCTTCCAGTGCAACAGCCAAAATCTTTCTCTCCTGTGGTGCACTGCCATACTAGGATTGCTCTTCATTGGATAAAAACAACATTCACTACTGTTTTATCTAACAGTAATAAAGGCTGCAATATAATCTTTGACCCTCAATGGTATTCATAAAGTTGTGGCACCCTAACTCTTGTTAAAAGAGAATGCGATGCAATGATTCTATCCTGCCCTCAAAAATTTACAGGCAAACTCAATAGCCATGTGGCTGATTAGCATGTGTAATGACAACAAACACATGGACATTCAGGCAATGGTTGTTAAACAGAACAATGATTTGACAAGTTCTGACTTCACCTTAACTGCCAGAATATAACATTTTTGAGACACTGTGTTGCCTAATCATTTTGTGAGAGTTCTCAGCACATTTGGAGGTCAGATTTTGTAAGCAGGTGACAGCTTCAGGTTGAATCTCTCTCTTTCCTAAGGCCATGATATAAGGATGTTTTTAACTGCTTCACTTTACCAGAAGATATAGTTATCTGTATATGCTGATTTTTCTACTTTGACTTCACAGCATGAGCTAATTCTTGTACAGAAAGTTTGAAAATGCTTTTATACACACTTCAAATACTATACACAGCTAGTATACTACTTCTCTTTAACCTTACACAAGTATTTTACGTCCTCTTAATTAACCTTGGAAAGACTGAAATTGTGATTTGCTTAAAAAGGTACAAATTTCTGGAAAAATCAAATTACTCAGAAAACTGGCTTATCTTTTTTTCCACCTTCCGTTATCAAGGAGGCAACAGGTAAGTGAGCAATATATCAGATAATGCAACTTTAAAACCCAAAAGAATGGGACATTACGAGAAATGTAAAGTCTCTACTATCTTCTTAAACTGAGAAGTCTTGTGAGAAGAAAATATTTTACTACCGGTAGAATGACAGACTTAAGTGAAAGATCTCTGATTTGACAGCAGTGTATACCCCAAAGCAAAATGTTGTCTACTGTGTTTTAAATACTTAATTCTACATTAAAGCATGCAATAGCTAGATATGGATGAACCAGCATGTACTACAACCAAAATAGGACTTCTGCATCAAACCCTTCCAGTGGTGAGAATTACAAGGGGAGTTATTAAATGTGTATTTTAGATGTCTGAAAGTGGTAATAATGTGGATGCCATACACATGTTATTACATAATCATGTGTAACGAATAGTGACTTCAGTCAGCTAAAATGGCTATAGTTTCTTCCTCATAATTTAGGAATCTAGTGGCAAAAAATCTCTCGCGGAATTCTATCTTACATGCTGCTTTTGACAAGCCTCTTCACTAATACAAGCTATTATATTTTACAGAGACTTTTTAAAACACTGGGTAGAATAAAGAGCTCCTCACTCCCCCAAAAACCTGTGAACACAGAATATTTGAAAATCTAAACAAGATATGTACAAGTAAATTAAATAGAAGTACTGAGATAAATGAAATCTGCAAAAGGAACTTCAGAGGCTTTCACAGCACTTCCATTTGTTTTCCTCTGTAATTTCCAGCAAAAGCTGAACTTAAAAACTGGCACTTAAGGAATTATGCTGTCAAAAAGATTTCCATTAGGTCACAAATGTTCCACCTGAGGTCAGCACGGTCTCAAGCAAACCACTTCCACAATGTCTGAAGATAGATGTTTACATCTGCAGGTATGAAAAACAATTTCGTTGATGTTTGTGCAGGCAGACAACCAGACTCCAGTGTCTGCATCTGCAAAAGAAGAACCAAAATTGCTCCTACACAAAATGAAATATCAAAATTGCTGCTTGTGTCTCAGAAATGCACTCAAGAATGTGCTTAAAGTTAAGTAAATGATTAAGTCAATGGGATATATGCCTGTTTGTAAATTATCTTACTGAGAACCAAAGTCCTCCCAGGTATCTATTTTCAACATTGCTACTCCCAAATCTTTAGCTGTTGTGAGCTCTCAGCTGTTTTTTCTGGACTCACTTGCTATAAAGACTGAATACTTAAGAGTCACATCATTGACAGCACATCTCTTAGCTCCTGCATCAGCCAGAGGTGAAAATTTCAATCCAGTTCAGATACGGGTACAATATCATATATGTTTGTAAACCCAGTTATAACATACAACATGTAGTTGACAGCAGAAAATACCTGATATATACCTGATACATATAAATATATCTGATAAATACCTGATACATAGCAGTGATATCAGACGATGCCTCATCTCACACAGTAGCAAGTTTAGAAAAAGAAGAAAGATGGCCTTCAGAAAAATGAACAGCTACACAGTTATGGAAAAAGAGACATTCCTTAATAACACTGTTGTAAATCACACCATGATTAACTTACATAAGAAACCTTGGGATCCTGTTTGGATTATGAAACAATAACAGAAACCACAGTAAACAGTGCAAGTAACCATCTCCTGTTTACCAAGTGGTTTGTTCTGTCCATCAAACCTTAAGAGCTCTGGAAACACTCAGAATTATTCTAAAATGAAAAAAATATTCACTCCTGAGGGGAATTTCAGAACGGATAATTTTTCTTCTTTGAAAACGGAACCTTTTTTAGACATGCTGAAATCTTCTGTGGAAGGGAATTTCGGGGGGTTTGGGGGGGCGGGAAGTAATTCTGAAAAAAAGAAACTAATGCTTCTAAGATTTTAAACCATTTTCCTGAAGTCTGGGGGCAGCTTTGGAAACTTCTGCCACGGAGCTAACAGGGCTTCAAATTAAGAGCGTCCTCAGAGCATGTAGCATCTCACGGTAACGAGAAGCTCTGGGGTCTGGAGATTCAGGTGGTGAATGGGATGGAAGGTGCTACACAGCTAAGAGAAATCTCTGCCTGTGTTTTAACTGAAATTTATCAAAACTAAAAAGTTTCATTGAAACCATGAAGGATTTTTAACTTGAAATTGTCAATCCGCCAAAAGCTGCTTCACTGGTAGATTTCTGATCTATTCTTGTGAGAATCAGTGCTGAAATCATCTGGTCTCTTAGGAGCACAAAATTTGCCACTACATTGCTCAGTGACTACTTCATGTCTCCTTATAACATTAATTTAACCCTTTGCAAACCTGAGGAGGTGTAGACCCTGCAGTATGTACCTATATATACATTTTTTTCTCTTTTTCCTCTGTTGCATTGGAAGTGGATTTTTAAAAGCCAACCTACTTTTGGCATCCTCTGCACTGACATTTCATACATTGTGTTGGCTGCTGAATCATAAGCTGTTGGTTTCTTTTCTCTTTTTAAACAAACAGGTTCCTTTCAGCTGTGACACCCCAGAACGAAAGCAGGTCCTGCATTGTGCTTACCCTAGCTGAGATCCATTGATGGTGACTTGTTCACTCTGCAGGAAACCATTTCTTCCTGCTGCTGCCATGGCAGCTGTCAATGGCATCCTCTTCCCATCTGTTTCTGCAGTGACACTGGTTACTGAAGCTGGCTGAGAAGGTTCCCTCCTGGTCTGTGTGTTTCTGAGAGTAGTTTGGTACCAGCTGGACCTTAAAGATTGCCTGTTCTGAGACCCCAAATGGGTAGCAATTGGTGATCTCACTTGTCCCATCGCGCTGCCTGAGGTCAGGTAGTTCTCTTTCTCCAAAAGGTTGGTCATACTGCGACTGTTGCCTGCTTGATGGTACAGAGGTACAGTGGGGCTGGGGTAGACACCATCAAGGATGGCATCATTAACTGCCCCCATGTGGGAGAGTCTCTTAAAAGAGCGTCCCCTGTTCACTGAATCACGAAGAGTGTAACCAACAATCTCAGACCGAGCATATCTTGGTGGGACCGTCCCAATGGATCTCCTGCTATCTCCATGCCTCATGGAGAATCCAGCTGAAATCCCTCTGTCATAGCGAAAATCATTGGACACATACGCCAGTCTTTCAGGATTTCGTTGTGGTGAAACCTCTAGTCTCTTCAGGGGCTGCCTTTGAGCTCTCTCTTCCATTGTCTTGTAAGCAATCTGTGTCCCCCAGCCATTTGTATAAGAGGTTGGTGAGGCCACCTGTTCAAGGGTGCATAAAAGAACAGGAGTCACAGTTAAGATCACAGCATTTAGGATTAATAGCAAAGAAATAAAACGAAAAAAGTAACGATAAAAATTCTAAGGTGTGCTATCAGTATTAGAAAACAAAATCTGAACATCACCAAACTAGTGTATTAAACGGGGTTCTGCAACACTTCTTTGTATCTGCCTAACAAAGGTAGGAAAATGTAAGCTCTAAATATTAGGAGACAAAGTCTAAGCATTTAGTCTTCTGTCATTAACTAAAATAGGTGTGTCGGTCAATCACGCTTGATAGCAAACAGTCTGCTTATTAATGGAGATTTTAGTTTCAGTTTGAAACTCCTTGGGGATTAACACCCACATCTGCTACTAAAATTAAATTCCAGGCTGTCCAACAGACAGAAGAAAACTAATCAGTCAGATATTAAAATATTATACTAAAGTGTATGCATATGCTATTAACCTTATTAACATAAGGTTATTTAGCCCTCCTGTTCACTTTGTGGTAGGATCTAGTAAAAAGAGACAGTCTCTTCCCTGTTTGTCTAACCTCTTAAAAATTAAGGACACTACATAACATTCCAGGGTAACCAAAATGACCATTTCACCATCTCAATGTTTTCCCTAACTCCACAGTTGCAATTTAAGATGTTTTTACTTTTCCTGTCACCAACAGGCAGGGACAGTAACAGATCATCATCTTGCTTTTTAATTTTCTCTTTTCTAAACTCAACAAACCCAATTCCTTCAACCTTTCTTTGTAGGATGTGTCTTCAAGATTCTTACTGTTTAGGTGCCACATGGGGCCTCTCCAATTTTTCTACCTTTTTCTTAGGCTCTATGTTGGACATCATACTCTGTTCCAGACCTTCCAGAACTAAATCAACTCGGGACACTACCTGGCCTTGAAATAGAGGAGTCATGGGCCAATTTTTTTAAAATCAGTAAGCATAGTGGCATCCAGCCATAAATCAAAGCCCCATATATTCCATTTCCATGTTTATTAAAGTTTTGTAACATTAAAGGTATTTTTTAAGGTAATGTAAGAAGCTTACACAAGTTATTAATTGAAGGGACAGTGCTTAGCAGATAGTTGCCAGACTGAAATCCCTTAATTTCACTGTTGAGTGAGTTACTGAGTGTGATAACTGACAAAAGGAGTAAAGGTTGCTGAAACTAGTAGGCTAAGGCAAGGATCATTGGATATATCTGTTTATTCTACAGAAGCTATGCAAGGATACCTCTATCTTTTGTTTGGGGATAAGGAAATTAATGCTTTTGTGAAATACTAGACCTTGTGGCTTTTTCTGGCTTTCACAGAGGACAAAGTCTTTCTCTCTCTTTTTTTTTTTTTTTTTTTTTCCCTTTAAAAATCTTTTTTCCCCTCCATGCTTGGAAAACTGTAGTATTTTCTTATGGTTCCTATGTTACCTTCAGTTTTCCTCTTGATGCTCTCTTCTAGAAAGAAGGCATTCACATCAAATATTATGGACTGGATGATAGGTGAGTACAGAGGATAGGAGGACAGAGAAGGAAATGTATTTAAATGGTTCTAACTCTCCCTGTACACAGCTGGAGCTGCTTCATTAACCGGCCAGAAGCTGGGCTATTTCCTTTAATAACAATAAGCATTCTTGAGTAATCTAAAATTAAGAAAGAATTGGCCCCTCCTTATACAGTTCTTTATTAAATAAATATTTCTGTTCTCAAGCTGAATTGCTTTCAGTTTACTGACGTTGATCATGCAGTAGCATTGCTCTTGAGCTAGGTGTCGATTTTCAAGTCATATGGTTGCTCCCTCAAATAGGTTCATACCAGTTATGAGCTGTATCACAAAGCCTGCAGAAAACTGATTATTAATCTTAGCATTTAGGTCATGAACCCAAGAAAAGTTGGTCAAAATAACAAGTGAATCTATGATTACACAGTTTAGAAACACCCATTGTATTGCAAGGACTGTACTGCTGAAATTCTTCTAATGCTAAAACAGGTTACAAAAGAATTGTTGTAAATGAGAAGGAACACTCTACCTGTCCTCGTGAAGCTAAAGCAATCTGTTTTCCTGTGGTTTTGGATGCTTAATTCCCTAACATCTTTCACCACATTCCCAGCTCCTACCTATGTCATTTGTTACTCCGTGGGATTGCTGGACTTCCTCTAGCGACCTCCAACTGTTCAGCTGGGTGAGTGGCAGCAAGTGCTGACTGACCTGCTGCCTGGTGGGATGGATAAAGATCTGACTTGTCACAGCCTTTACTTTAGTGCCGTGTTAATACGGTTTTTCGTTTCCTACCCTGATGCCAATTCTCACAAAACCAACAGGCTTGAAAAAGCCTGTCCATATGACCGAGTTGAATTTAGCCACTGGGCTCAACAGTCACTGGAAAGGGGGGAAAACGTTAACAGATCTCAGTTGTAAAAACCTCATTTTCTAGAAATCAGGCTTTAATAAGCAAACAAGCAAGCAAGCAAACCTTGAAACACCATCTACATGCTATTATTTGTGGTAACAAAATGTATAAACTATGCATGTTATATTATCCTTATTTCTATTACTTGTCTCCTCTTCCTCACCTGGTTTGACTGGAAATATGAGAAACCATAGGGAGTTCTTGGTGCAAAATCATTTTCAGTAATCCCCATGTTATAGACACGCTCTGGAACACTGGATGCACGGTGCAAACTGCCTGTAAACAAACACTAATATTAGTAAGATTTTAACAAAACATGATTTTGTTATAAAGGATGATTTACAGTACTAGGGAAATGTCCCAGTCTGCACTGCCATTCATATATATAAGCTGAGAATCAGACAGGGAAATGATGGAAAGAAGTTTGCATTTGGTGTATCATATTCAAAACGTGGCTAAGCAAAGCTTTCGCGAGGATATAATTTATTTTTTCAGTTTCCTATTTATTTTACTTAAGACGTATTTTTAACTTTTAGAAGTCTGGTTGTTCATGCAGCTATTTAAAGAAAAACGTTTTAACAAAGCAAGCTGATATCCCAGATAAAGACAGATGATTAAGTATAGAGCAATATTATCTCTGAACAGCTACTAACAGGTTACTATTTTCCACTGTAACCACTTTGAATATGTATGCATGGTTTACATAAGAGGCTGACTATAACATGCACAGTACACAAGAAATTAAAATATTGCAGCTGTAGATTGCAGATGAGAAACATGGGTTGATGTGTATACCTCTGTTACTGTGCACCCTGGAGATGCAATTTTCACAATGTACCGCTGTAAACAAACAGCTTACACTGAGTATAGACTGTTTATTTCATAGTTGTCTACCTCAACTCTGGTGCTTCTCCTCCCTCAGGTGCTAGTTTAATGATAATATGTTGGAGCAACTAACGCTTCACTACTCTTGGTGCTTCACCCAAAGAGCATGAAGAGTCCACGAACAAATTTTATGGCTTATGGAGGGATGTGGCATATGATGCTGTAAAGTAGGGCTGTTTAATAACACTTCAAACCTGCACCTGAAAGGTTCACTAATCCTACAAATAATGTAGAACACCCACAGTGTATCTGCTCTGATTCTTTTTTTTTTCATGACACAGTTTTTAAAATAAAACAGTGCATTGTGATTATTTCTTTCACTAAAACCACATTATTATTTTAATTAAAAACAAACCAACCAAAGCTTCAGGCTGTTTCTTTTTCACTGATACAATGCATTGTCAAAGAAAAAATGCTTCTATTAAGAAAATTTTTTAAAGCAACAGATACTCCTGAAATAATTATTCATGAGATTCCTGTGTTACTATGAGAATCTGCATATAGGAATATAAATAACACAGACAGGTTTAAAGAGGTGAAACAGAAGTTGAAAGCATGATATACCTCAAACCAGTCATAAATGGGGCCAGTGTGTGGTGCAGAAGTTTAGGCTGAACAGGTAGCAGTGGTCAATAAAGAAGTTAATTGGCCATGAATTTTCAAAATAGCAGATATTACCTAAGATACTACAGAAAAGAAATCTAAAGAACTGATCATTAACTTGGTCAAACTGCTGAAGTCTCCACTTCCGAAAACAGTAGGAGTCATATGCCCATGGGAATTCGGGTGCCAAACACATGCAGGCAAGCACCTGCTGGGATATTTTAAAGCACCTGCTGCGTGCGTGCGTGCGTGCCAAATAGCTGGGGCTTTCAGTTCGCGCAGTTAGATGCTGGGCTTCATTAGGTGCACATGAGTAACCCTAGGAACTTCAGTACACCTGTATCTTTGATCCTTAGTGTCCATAGTTAGTAAAAGGCTCTATCAGGGTGAAAATAAAGAAGAGACTCACATAACAAGAATAATTCATGAATGATGCTCACTAGCACATAGCTACCTGGGTAAGTCCAAATATGTGTAGAATATAATACAGTATAATACAATACAATATAACAGCACACTGCAATAATTTGGGGCCTAATTCAATCACACTATGCAGTTACTTTGCTTATTTAATCATACTTTCCAATTCTTTCATTTTGGCCATGCGAGACGGATTTAAACATGTATTAGGAGATCTGCTAAGATGCATTCATGGTAACTTTGTGTCATGAGAGTGGAATGATGCAGCTTGGTCAAACTCATGATTTGGATTGTAGTAATTCCTTCGTGACATTACAAGGTTACCATAGCCCAAGGGTTACCCAAGTACATGAGAAAGCGTAAGAGGAAACTGTGTTTTTATACTGCAAAAAAATCCTGTTGATGTACAATGACATCAAAAATCTTCAAATTCATATAAATCTCTCATTTGTGTGATATAATTCCCATATTGATGTACTATTTCAGGTGCCTGATAAGACTCTCGTCTTAGCCTATTGCCTGTGCCTGTTTTTTAAAGATTCACTTTATTCATTCTTGCATATTAAAGTACTTTCATATAACAACTCTTTAAATAAAAACACATATACATTTCTGTTTCTTTACAGTTAGTATTTTTTGTCCAGTTTACTTTACTTAGTGAGAAATTACTCTCATTTGTTTATCTACCTAGGGCATAAAGATCCTTTGAGCAAGTAATTTCTGCACATTTTAGGTAACTCTAAACTCCCTGTGTTTACTAAACAAATTTTAAATATGAGGATAAATTAAAAACAACAAGGCTGTATGTGAACTAGTTGAGGACAAATTACATATCTAACAGTTCCTTCTTTGCAAAAGAAAAATAAAGTCAATCAGAAATTGTAACACTCAGTTAACTATCTTCAAGTAGTCCTCCTTTTTTAACCTCCAGTCTCCCTCTGAAACTACCCATCACCAAACGTTTTTCCGCTTCAGAGAATCACAGTATATGTTAGCTTATGGAATTTCCCTTTGCATTTACAGCATCTCTTGCTTGTTCTTACATCAATAAACTATTTTGCCAGAATTCTACCTGTAGACTTATTAGGTAGACTTAAAATGGATGTCTTTTTACTGTGTGCTGTTTACTTGTGCCAAAAGCACAAGTTAAAGGAAAAAGTGGTAACTGAAATGCTGTGTCTTTCCATTAGTTATGAGATGCAGAACAGGTGATCTGATCAAAACTTGTCTCTGCCCGCAAGGCTTCCTTCAGCTTATTTTCACCATACTACAAAAACCTACGTGTCTTTCTCACCTCTCAGATTTGCTCAGTATTACATATATTCAGAAACCACTAGGCAGTCCTTATACACTCAGTGCACTGGCTTAAAAAAAATAAAGAAACAAAAAGCCATGATTTTTTTTTTTTTTTAATTTATATCATGGGTTCATTTACTATTAGGATTAATATTTTCTAACTGTGATTATCAGTGTTTTAAGTCTCACAAAAAGTCTCCCTTCAGAAAACATGCGTATGATTCAGTTACCCATCCATAGGGGACAAATGCTACTTGAGAGGCCATAGGGTACTACAATTGATTTCCAGCAGCCTGTCAAGAAAATGATGGGTTTCCACAGGCCCTGTGTTATGTCTCTCAACCCATGAGGATATTCTGGAAAACTCAGGCATCTCAGACAGCATCAGACACTCATGAGTGGGCAAGTGAGTGGAACGATTTATCACAGTCTCCCCTGTCCCCTGTCAGTATGAGCTAAAGCAGCGCAGGAACGCTTTGGATGTGGTCAGTGGAGAAGGAAAACTAAACCCCTTTGCTCTTCTCCATGCCTAGAATAAAAGCTGCACAAAAGTCACTTGATAACTGCAACAGTTACGACAAATTTTGAGACCCGAGAAAGTAATTCCACTATCAGGAGGGAGACTGTAGAGGTGACAGAGCAAAAATCCCATCTGTCTTCACAGAGGCTCTTCTCAAGGCCCCTTTGTTCACCTGGATGTGACAGGTCCAACATCTCCAGAGGCCTTGAAGTTCCTCCCCAGCAATCACTGCTTATGGCTGCAGACAGATCAATCTCCTGTTTGCTTGGCTTTCAAAAACAATGACAAGAGGCGTCTCTAAGATATATGATATTTGAAAAAGACAATTATCGTCCATTAAGGAGTTAGGTGTATCAAATTCCCCTTAAATCAAGTACAGTGTTAACTCTCAGTTGTGAGTCTTTTTCAGCATTTTGTATTTGAATGGTTACCATGAAAGCCAAATTTTGGATTTAAACGCCCCACTGGAGGCATCGACATAGCTGTACCCTGTACACAGAAGTCTCTTAAGGACCGTGATATTTTCATGCATCCTGAGTGCCCTCCTGCTGAGTATCCACTGTCCACTCTTGCTCAGGGCAGGTGGGTGATTATGTCCTCAACACAGACTCCTAAGTGTTCCTGGACTGTCACCTTTTAATCCCTTTTCATACTCCACCAGTCACAATGGACTGAGATGGCGACATTTAAGAATGGCATATCAAAAACTTCACTGAATCACTTCACCTAGAGATCAAAGCACCTTCATTTTGATCAATTTCCTTCATCACTCTGCCAGCACATGCCTGGTCCCCAAGGAGTTTTTCTAACATTTTTTACTTTGTGCTGGTCAGTACATTTACACAAGTGCTCAAATTTAAGAAAAAGGTTCCTTCTGGCTCATGAAGCAGAGGTGAGGAAATTAATGAAACCAACAAAAAGTGGAAGTCACCAACAAGGAATTTTTTCTACTTCCTTTTCCCACAAAAATATAAACAGAAAATCACTACAAAGAAGTTAACATGGTCAGAATTCTGCAAAATAGAAGGCTAAGGAGAGAAAACTCACCCAAACCCCTAAAAGCAAGTTTAAACAAAAAATACTACTAAGAATTTTACAAATGAAGAAACGTGACGAATAAATAAGGCTCTGATTGTAACTGTCCTGTATCTTATGCTGTCAATTTGGAAATCACGTAAGGTTAAACTCTGTTTTTTATAAACACACTGGGTTTATAAAACTCTGTGTTAGAGAAAGAATCTGTATACAGACAGCAGTTCATCAGGCCGTTTAGTTTTGTATGATATATTAACCAATTCTGCCCTTACTTTTTACAGCGGAACTGATAAGGACGTACAGGATGTACAGGAAAGTAAACTTTAATCCAGGGATTATACCAAAGAAAGAGAAATATCACAAATGAATTTAAAAAGCCAATCAAAACCCAAATGGAACAAGATCAGAGGCAAGCGGACTCATAAAAAGAAGGAAGTTTAATAGACTCCTAAAGTGTACATAAAATAATCAGTAATGCTGCATCATATGCGAGCTGAAAAACACCAGTCATTAAGGTATAT